GTCACTCTAAATGCATTAAACTACCATGGAATTAGTAAGAACTCTTAGTGAGCAGCATTTAGAGCTTCCTTAAACACTTGAAATGTAAACTTTTTTTTTCAGTTTGTGAATGTTTAATTGGTGTGTAAATAGCGCTAATGAAATATGCCTATCTGACAAACCAATAACACCCACAAAACTAAAAAAACATTCATTAATGACACTGAATCATTTGTGTGTAACTTTTGAATCATTTGTGTCCTCTTTGGTTATCATTACATAAGAAGGCAGGGCTCAGATTAATTTAATCTAATTCAATTTGGTAGGGAGACCTGAAGGGGTGGGGGGAGTGATCTAGTTACTATGACTGCAAACCTAGTAGTGTATTGAGTTTGATTCAGATGAAACTTACAAGCTGAAAAAGTGAATAAGAAGAATGTACCTATTTTTTTGTGGTTCTGAGGATAATATCCAGTCTATTTGTTAGTTCTCTCACGCTTGTCTATTGTCACTGCATAAAGACCAAAAAATAAATGTTTATTCTCTAAAGTACCTTTTGTTCCTACCAGCTAAATTGACTTTAATGTTTATACATTTTAATGAAAATGACATTTCCTTACTCCTTAACTAGAGCACCTTCACTGCAATAAATATCTGCATACACATAGTTGAAAAACTAGATCCTCAGCACACTTTTTGACTATTCGTCCCCCAACTCCCCTAGAGAAAATCTTAACAGCAATAATTTCCTGAGATAGTCTAGTGGTATTACCATGGCAATAAGACCCAGACAAGATTTCAGATAAAACTTTTATTAATTATTTCTTCCTGATGATATAGTCCTACCCTCCAGCTACCCTTGTCACATGACCCACTACTTCACACAAACAGAACAATTAGGGTTTTTTCAAAGAGCTTGCAATGGCTTCTTTTCAATAAGGAGACAAGGATAAATACAGGACTGTTAGAAATAAACTCATTCCATTGATTTTTCTCTCACATCAAACATCTATCTATAGATAGTTGCCCGCTCTCTGGAATTTTACCCAATCTATTATTGAAAGGAACAATCAGAAACGAATTCAGACCAGATCTTCCATGTTTTCTGATTTTCCAAGGTCACTCTGTTGACCTGTAGAGAAAATCTGAAGGATCCGAAAATCAAACAGAGTATAACACTGTTCAAGTCCTCTGAATTTTATGTTCTGATTTGCTGATGAGTTTCATTGAAAAAAAAAAGCAACGAATGTTATCATTAAGTAAGGCAAAGTCCCACACCAAACTAATAATCTTAGTAGTTGTGTGCAATCCCTAGATGCAACATGTACGCAAATTTGGTATGATAGAGCTTGCAGTTACCCCTGGTACTTAGGAATTGACTTGTTCTTAAAACTTTTAACTAGTCCCTCATTTAGTGAATGAAAGTCAAATCCAGCGTCTGAAGCAAGTTTCAGAGTGTTCATCCCTTGATGCATCATTCCTGCAAGTTTGGTTCAAATAGGCCTTATAGTTTCTTGGTAATGGACCTGCTCCAAAAACTATAACCTGGTCACTCATCTGGAAAATGTAGGTCAATCCAGCATCCAAAGCAAGCCTGGTAGTGTGCATCCATAAATGTACAGTATCATCCATGTAAGTTTGGTCAATATAGGGCTTATAGTTACTTGGAAATGAGACCTGCTCCAAAATCATTCACATGGTCATTCTTTAGCTAAAATTGCAGCATATGAAACCAAAAGAAACATATTAGAAGAACTGTCCATAAATCTCAGATTTATTATAGGGCACAGAAGTACTTGAAAAGAAATCTGCTCCAAAAACTTTTACCTGGGACGCAGACGCCAAGGGTATTACATCAACTCCCCCTAACTTTGTTTAGGCGAGCTTTAAGGCAATGGTAAAGACATAAACTATAGGAAATGGTAATATTATCAATGTCATAGAAACTTGCATGTTAAAAAAAGTACCCACTATTCTTGGATGTTTCACTGATACCTGTAGGAATAAATTCTGAGAGTCTATTTAAATAAGGATATTAAAGGTTAGGAATATCTCTATGCAACAAATAAAGTTTTAGGAAGTATAACTATATGATATAGCCTGTCCCATATATGAGCAATTCCACCTTTTTGATGATAACAAATATGATTTGTCTTGAAATCAAATTTAATTTAAAAAATTAAATATAATTAAACATTAAGGTTTTGTCAATTCCAAACAACTTTTAGTCAGAGTGGATCAATGCAACTTAATTGAAACAAACCAGTATGACACAATTTTTCAAAGTTGAAGGAAAATTTTCTATTGCTGTCAAGTGTATGTATAAGGGAGTAGTTGTTATTTCCTGAGATCATCTGAGCGTAATCTCCAATGTGTGCAACACTGTTATGTCAAAGACAGTATACAATGGAAAATCACAAATGAATAAGAATTTGTTTCCAAAGTGGCAGCAATTTTTGTAATGTTAAATCCACATAAAACTTTACTTTGAATTTGCTGTGTGTAGGTACACTATACTTGCACTCAAGAGTTCATTTCAAAACAAGAGTTTGGATAAAATTTTCTTCACTGATTGAATCTAGTTTGGATGTCATGGTATTTATGTATTTTGAGATATAATGAGAAATGAGAGGCCAAAAACATTCACCTGAGTTACTATGGTCCTTCTGTTCTTCATCAGCAGATTTTTCCCTATACATTTCCATGTAAAATTTGATCACAAATTGGGGCCCCATGCTACCCCTGGGGGTCATAATTTGAGCAAACTTGAATCTACACTATCTAAGGATACTTCCATATAAATATTACTGATCATGGCTTTGCTGTTCTTGAGAAGAAGATTTTTAAAACACTTTTACTATATATTCTCTGTATAACTTTGATCGCCCATTGTGGTCCCTTCCTACCCCATGATTGAAAAAAATTGAATCTACACTATCTAAGGATGCTTCCATATAAATACTACTGCAAAAAAAAATAAATCTTGACCTGGCTGTTCTTGAGAAGATGAATTTTAAAGATTTTTCCTGTATACTTTGCTCACAATCGTGGCCCCACCCCACTTCCAGGGTTCATGATTTGAACACTATTTAGGGATCATGCAAATATGTAAAACTTTGATTGCCCATTTTGGCCCCATCCTACCCCCCCCCCCTCCCCGGGGGTCACAATTTAAACACACTTGAATCCACACTATCTGAGGATGCTTCCATATAAATATGACTAATCATGGCTTTGCTGTTCTTGAGCAGAAGAGTTTTAAATATTTTTCCTATATATTCCTATGTAAAACTTTGATCCTCTATTGTGGCCCCACCCTATCCCTGGAAGTCATGATCTGAACAAATGTGAATCTATACAACTATGTAATGAAGCTTTCACATAAAATTATATTTTCTGACCCAGTGGTTCTTGAGAAGATTTTTTTAAAGATGGCACCAAATCTTCACAAATTCTTTATTATCTCCCCCTGAAAAGAGGGCATGAGTTTGGCTGAAATTGGCTCAGTGGTTCTTGAGAAGTCAAAGATGTGAAAAGTTACACACAACAGACAGATAGATGTACAGACAGATGAAAGACACTTTTCAATCAGAAAAGCTCATTTGAGCTTTCAGCTCAGGTGAGCTAAAAATATCCTTTACATTCCAATGTAAAATTTGATCCCCTAGTGTGACCCCACCCTAGCCCATGGAAACATGATTTAAACAATTTAGGATCTACAATATGTCTGGAAGCTTTCCCATATAAATGATCTTTTTTGGTCCAGTGGTTCTTGAGAAGATTTTAAAAAAAAATTTTCCTATATATTCCACCGTACAACTTTGATTTTCTATTGTGGCCCCACTCTACCCCCAGGGGCTTTGATTTGAATAATTTAGAATCTTCACTATGGTACCTCTGGAAGTTTTAACATAAATTTCACCTTTTCTGGTTCAGTGGTTCTTGAGAAGATTTTTAAAGATTTTTTCCCAACACATTCCAATACACAACTTTTATTCCCTACTGTGGCCCCATCCCTACCCTGGCAGGCATGATTTGAGCAATTTAGAACTTACACAACCTCAGGAAGTGTTTGCTAAATTTTCATCTTTTCTGGCTCAGTGGTTTTTGGGAGGAATATTTTTTTCAGAATCTCACCCTATTTTTGCCTTTTCTTGATTATCTCCTCTTGGAAAGGGACTTAAATTTAGAGATGGAATAGACAAGCAGACAAATAGACAGACAGATGGACAAACAAACAGACAGATGGCAAACAATGGGTGATTAGTAAAGCTCACTATGAACTGTCAAAGCTGCACCCATATCTATTTGTACATGTTGTATTCAATCTTAAAGCACATCATACAATTTTACACTAAAATTTTTTTTATACCTAACAAAACAGCATCAAAACCAGGATAATAGTCTGGGTTATTAACAGTATTCCCTCTTTTAAGGGTACAGAATTAACTTTCAAAAATAATTAAAAGTGCATCGGTATGGTAATGTAATATGTTGCATTTATCTGTCACCATGATCAATGGCTCATTCTAAATGAACATCGCAACCCATAATTTTGTCTATGTGATGCACCCATGGGTTACCAATGATGGTTTTGATTGCTCTTGTTAATTTTAGATAAGAAAAGAAAATACATATATGTAATGTTTTATATTAGTTCCGATAATTTATCAATAAACTGGTAATGGTATCAAAGAGACTCTTACAAATTACTTCATATAAATGATTGAAATCAAATCACTTATGCACATGCTATGACTTTTCCAGTCTGTGTCACAAAATTATATGCTGCAGCAAATGTTTTTTTTTCTAATCAAAAGAATCTGCTACATCAAAGAACAGAATGCATACTAATTATCTCTCTACCCGACACACTCAACACAGAAAGCCAACAATCAATAAACGAAGGATGGAAATCCAGGAAAAGCTTGACAGCACAAGAGTAGTAATACTGTGGCTCAATACTAAAAAGAATTCCTGAGGCAATTTTCCTGCACAATGCACTATGACATACCAGTATCCCTTTGTGCAGACATAAATTGGCCTACATTTTAACACATTTAAATCAATGAGGACTTAAGGACTATATATTCCTCATGTTTACCGGGGTACAAGCCTTAGGGCTTCCACATTTGATGAGACTAAACATGTAATACATGTCATGCTATGCTTTCAGCATTCCTTGCACTATGTTTAAATGTCAAACATACTCTATTAAATTTCTTTTCTTTTTTTTTTAATCAATAAGGGATTGGATGCATGACAGACATGGGAAAGAAAGATAACTCTTGCATATGTATTTGACATGTATTTAGAACAAAGGAGATGGGCGAACATAGCGTGCAGAAAGCCTATAGCTTCAGAAATATAAAAATAATGTTCAGTTTGTGAATTTAATATTTAGAGTAAAGTTCTCATTATTGAATTTTATGAAATTGTGATAAACAAAACTTTTCTGAGGAAAATTTTCTCAGCAAAATTTATTCTTTTATTAAAAAAAAAATAATGTGGTATTCGTGGGGTTCGAACCCTAGCAATAAAAATCCTGAGTATTATTTTCTTTTGAGACTAGCACGCTAACCACTAGACTACACAAGTCCTGACGAACAGTGGCATTTAAATCATGATTGTGATATGACTCTTGATTTAATGGACTTCAAGTATTTCTCGAAAAGATGCGAATGTTATGTCATAAAAGTATATTTTTAAGGTATAGTGGGTCATTGCTCCATATTTTTGGTAACCAAAAATGTATATTTTTATGCAAACTTTGAGGATTAACTTTCAAAAAGGTGGAGCGAAGACCCACTCATATCGAAAAATAGTGTTATAGTATGCGAAAATGACTCTTTTTGCCCGCTTTAGTGTGTGTCTAATATTTCACAGGCAAATAATTTCAATCTTTGAGGGATTTTTGTAAATTGTAGAGATTTTACATAAAGTATATTTTAATGTTAGACGAAATATCAAGGAAAATTTTGATATAATTGAAATTTAATTTTTCATCATCATGTTTGTCACACTATAGGCTTATCGCTCGTCATGTTCACCCATCTCCTTTAAGCATTTCCATATGTACTTTATTTGATGACTGTATGTAACCTTTGCTATTAAAAGTAGTTTGTAGGTTTTTTAAAGTTTTTGACCTCTGATAGACTTGGAGAACTTCATCATCATGTTCAAACCAAATGTATATTTCCTTTCTCTATAAATATTAATATGATTAAATAAAATTTTGACCACAATAGTGTGTGGTTCAAAAAAATTAATATATTATTTTACTGTTAGCTACATCTGTTTTCTCAGCATTACTCGGGGTATATGCCATTTCCAATTCTTTGGATTGGTAATTTTTATATGAACATCCCAAATATGATGGTAGTGAGTAAGTCATGCCTGCCTGAATTAAGTTTAAATATTTGAAGGATAATCATTTTATCATAAAAATAAGCCTTTGATCAAGACAGGGATTTCCACAAATGATATTAACAGTTACAATGTCACAGCAGTCTGAATGTTGCTCAGGATCTCGAGACCACGGACTTAGGTCCTTAAACAGATATCGTTTGTACATTGTCTCATTATAGGCAAGGTGGTATATCTTGTACCCCCAATTCCTGACAGTATCCCAAATGCAGTTTTTTTTTGTTTTAATGATATTCTTCATAAAACTAAACAGAATTTCTTCATACTTCCAAGGCACATTAACAATGTTGAACTAAAGACACATACAAATAAATATATCATAAATGCCAAAATCATGGACTGAGATGAGCATCTTAATGAATCAGTGTTTCAGTCTCTGCATTTATAACTCAGTACTAGATTTATGCCTTTGGACAGACGACAATACTAGTTTATACGATTCTTTAGTATATTTTAAAAAAATATGTAACATTATTGATATTATTTATGTATACAATTGTGTGTAAAAGATAATATTTTTTTAAATTGGATTTTGACAACAACAAACATTAGCTTTGAAGAACTATTAATTTTTCTGACTACTTGTGAATTTATTTCAACAAAGCATAGATGTGCTGAAGAAGTATGAAGCGATTCTGATCAGTGGTATGAAGAATATCAATGAAAATGCACAATTCAGGAACTTGGAGTATGAGATTTACTGCCTGTCTTCATTTATAATTAATAAATATTTTGATACAGTATACAACATAGAATAACGCACTGACCTGCCTAATATGGGTATTGGGGCTAATTCGATCCTCATCTTTCAGTTATACGTATTGTATCACAAAGTAACACATACACTGGGGGGGGTGTGCCAAAAGTCAAAAATGGTTAAGAGATATTATAGCCAAAATAAAGGCCTAGTCTGCATACCCCCCCCCCCCCTTTTTCCCCTTTCATTCTGTTCTGAAACTCCTCGGCTGGTTATGATGGAAAATATAGGTAAAAATATGGTCCAAATCAAAATATGCTCCATTTCACGGGCTGAACAGGGCGTGAATAAAACCTCTCTGAACTGATGGGTTTTTACAATGACACATTTCCTAATTTTGGCCAATATCAATATCGCGCGATCATTACGAAACTTTTCATGAACAATTGAAATTCGTCAATAACAATTAAATTTTTTATGTGTAGAACAAATGAATTGTTTACCGTGTAACATCTTTAGGGTCTCATGAAAAGTTAAAGTAACATCGTTAAACATGACTATAGTAATTAGTTACCTGTACATCAGTCCACTTTTCGCAATAATGTTTATATGGCTATTCCGTTAGTTCCCCCTCACTCCCTAACAGTCCTTTAAAATGGTACTTAGACCTAATCAAAATAATTTCAAGCTTATTTATTTTTTCTTTACAAATTTATTATTATTATTTTTTTTTTACATATATTTATATATTAAAAAGGCAAATTATGTTTCTAAAATCTAAAATAAAAAAAGAATATTTTACATGAATCTCGACCCCGAGCATAATTGGCGGGGAAGGAAGTTGTTCACTTCGGTGGCGGATCCAATCTCTACCCAGAGTTATCGTTCCCACTACGCTCCACTTATACACTTATTCTAATTTTCATACATAAACTTTTCTTTAAATTTTAAAGCTAAAATATATAACTTTAAAATTTATAATTGGTTATGCAATAGATCAGAGTAAGTTTTGCCAAGAATCTTGGCATTTAGACGTTGACAGAGGTGTTGCAGCGAAGCGTAATACGCCCTCTGGTGAGAGATTGTGGTGGATCTAGAGTGAATTGCACTCCTTACTTTACTTGAGAAAGAAAGAGTAGTGACTATGTGTGTATGTAATGTATGTGTTAAACCCCCTCCCCAATCGAAAAAATATCGTTCTTTAGGATCTGTGTTTTAATCTGAGCTCTTAAATGAATTTCACAAAGCTTTCAAACTAAATGAGAGTTGTATATGTCCGTCTGCTGAAGAAGTCTAAATGATTCCCAAACATCACCAGGAACACGAACATAAACCTGGAAACCAAGGTTGTAATATAAAGGTAGACGTTGTATATATCCCATCATAACGGAAATGACATCGCTTAAATCTCCGACGTCTTCACTGGGGTAGCGTTCCAGCGTTATCCTCACAGTTCGAACAATCAATGACATTTCGGGCGTGTTCGACTCTTGTGGCCACTCTTTCCAAAATGTAGCAGAAGTTCGTTTACCCATATGAGGTTTTTGTACAAGTATTATTCGTTGAGGGATTCTGTATTTTGTCTTCAGTAGTTGGTAAGTGAAGCGGATATTTTCACCCGTATTCTGACTTCTGGTTTCAGTATATATTTTACAAGAAGGCACGCCCATAGATACTGCAATATCACGGAAAACCTCTGCTTCTGTTCTATTCCATCGTCCTGACAAGTAAAACATACAGATGAGACCAAAAATAAAAATGTTTTGCTTGATGTACGACGACCAACCCATCAAAATAGTCCCTACCTAATTTTTTTTCATTTATTTAATTGGGGGAGGGGGGGGGGGGTTCTGGGAAAATACAAATAGTCCGAATTGTTTTTAAACATCTGTCTTTTTTGGGATGAAGTTAAGGTAAGAATCATAGAGGAATAAATGTGGAAATTTGTTTATAAAATTTATCAATGTGTTAGATAATTATAATGACCTTGTCTTTAACAATATGACCTTGAGTGACCGAATTCAAAAATTTATTGCAACAGATTAAATTCATATGGAAGGCCATTTAGGATCTATCAAAAATATTTTTGAATTCCATATAACGAATTGTCGAATTTGTTATGACGAATTAAATTCGCTTTAAACGAATTTTGAAATTTGTTGTAACAAATTAAATGCGTTTTAAAAAATCCTAAAATTTGTTATAACGAAATAAATTCGTTTAATCAAATTCAACAATCAGGGCCTATAGAAAAATATGTATGGATTCGATATAACGATTTGTCGAATTTGTTTTAATTAATTTAAGTTCGTTGAAACAAATTAAAAGTTTGTTTTAATGAATTTAATTCGTTATAACAAGTTTTAGAATTCGTTATAACGAAATTAACAAATGTTTTATAACAGATTTCATTCATTATTACGAATTCAAAGAAATTGTTATAACGAATTAAATTCGTTATAACAAATTCGACAATTCGTTATATCGAAATAGAATTTTTTTTTGATAGGTCCTAAATGGGCTTCCTAAAAAATTCGAATTCAAAAATATTTTTTGATAGGTTCTAAATATGCTTCTTATTATTCATCCTGAGTCAAATATTTCATATTTTTCTTACATGTAGACATAGAATTGTTCTCAGATTACTGAAATTTACTCACCTGCCGTCAAATTACCCAAACGACCAGAGAAAACAATTATATCTGCCCATCCTTGGAGCCACAGAAGTGCTGTTTCTATTGCAACTCTAGGATCATGACTTCCTAAACCAACGATGACATCACTCTGAAATAACGAATCTTAAACATTTCCATCATTGCAAAATAGACAGTATTAAAAACTGACGTTCACTATTTATGTTGTATGTTTTCCCCTAAAAAAAAGGATGTTTCCCCCTTCTCAAATTATACTGCTGGTCACTATAATACGACTTTGAGACACAGCGTTGTGTCAAGGACATGATGCACCTTTTAACCAGTAGCAATATATCATACCATTGAAACTAAAATTTGAATTCATTCCAAAAAAGACAAGACATGACCTCGGTTTTACTATCTCAATGACCTTTCAATGTCAACTCAATGTCAATGACCTTTGGTATATGACATCATGTCAAGGTTCATGACATACCTTTGGCAAAAGGTCACAGTTTGAATTCATTTCAATCAAGGGTAATTGTCACATTGCTCAGTGACCTTGACCTTTAAGATACAAAATTCAAGGCACACCTGAAGATAATTTAGGCAACAAAAAATTCAATAATAAAATACTATAATTATGGATCTTAAGGTATTCAATGTATAATGAAGGGATTTTGAACAATTTTGAATCATCTTAAACTAGTTAAAAATACATTGCTAGATGTTTGTGAAACACTGATGCCCCCGTATGGCAACTTATAGCAAAGGTTAAACTTTCTCAAATGCAAATCAAATATGTTGGTACCCAAAGTAAGGCCTTGTCTCAAGGAATATACCTGTGAAATATGAAAGCCTTAGCAGCAACCATTGAATAGATATGGAAAAGGTTAAAGTTTTTCAAAAGTAAGTCAAACATCAAGGTCAAGGTCAAACGGTCAAAATTAATGGTGCCCAAGGAAAGGCCTTCTCACAAGAAATATGCAGGTGAAATATGAAAGCCGAAGCACCAATCGTTCAAAAGTTATGACCAAGGTTAAAGTTTTTCAAAATTAGGTCAAACTCCAAGGTCAAGGTCAATGGATTACAATTGTTGGTATCCAAAGGAAGGTCTTGTTACAAGGATTACATATGTGAAGTCTGAAAGCCCTAGCATCAATGGTTCAAAAGTTATGGCCAAAGTTAAAGTTTTCAAAAAGTAGTTCAAACTCTAAGGTCAAGGTCAAAGGGTCACAGTTGTAGGTATCCAAAAGAAAGTCTTGTCACAAGGATTAAATATGTGAAGTATGAAAGCCCTAGCACCAGTTGTTGAAAAGTTATGGCCAAGGTTAAAGTTTTTCAAAAGTAGGTCAAACTCCAAGGTCAAGGTCAAAGGGTCAAAGTTGTTGGTATCCAAAGGAAGGTCTTGTCACAAGGATTACATATGTGAAGTATTAAAGCCTTAGCACCAACTGTTCAAAAGTTATGGCCAAGTTTAAGTTTTTCAAAAGTAGGTCAAGCTCCAAGGTTAAGGTCAAAGGGTCAAAGTTGTTGGTATCCAAAGGAAGGTCTTGTCCCAAGGATTACATATGTGAAGTATGAGCCTTAGCACTAACTGTTGAAAAGTTATGGCCAAGATTAAAGTTTTAAAAAGTAGGTCACACTCCAAGGTCAAGGTCAAAGGGTCAAAGTTGTTGGTATCCAAAGGAAGGTCTTGTCCCAAGGATTACATATGTGAAGTCTGAAAGCCCTAGCACCAATTGCTCAAAAGTTATGGCCAAGGTTAAAGTTGGGTAAAATTTTGCAAAACTGGGTCAAACTCCAAGGTCAAGGTCAAATATGGTGGTACCCAAAGAAAGGTCTTGTCACAAGGAATACACATGTGAAATATGAAAGCCATAGCTCCAACCAATCAAAAGTTATGGGCATTGTTAATGTTTTTGCGGGCAAACAGACAGACAGACGGGCGGACAGGGCAAAAACTATATACCCCCGAATCTTCGATACGGGGACATAAGAAGATGTCTTAGTACATATATATATATATGTCGATCAAGGTATATAAATGTCCTTAATAGATAAATTTTACCATAAGTAAGTCAAGGTAAAGCTGTTTACATACACAGTCTTGTGAATCACTCTAAACAGATATGGTATTCCATAAGGTGATATACTTACTTTTATCAGGTTATCATTGACCTGTAGGAAATTCCAAATTTTGTTTGCTGCGTCTAAGTGCATGGTTGGGACTTTAAGGCACTGGTTTACCCCGAATCCAGTACTTTTATATCCCATTAACAACAGCAGTATAAACGTTGTGTGTCTACTTATTCTTTGGTCACTCACCATGATTGGGTTAAGGAAAGAGAGACCGCATTTTCGACGCTAAAATCCAGCAATGGACCAAACAGATTTACATGACACACGCCTACAAATGTTATTGCAATTTAAATTAAAGACTGTAGGAAAGCCAAATCATTATAATTTTCACTGCTTTTGTGAAAAAAATGCAAAAAGTAGGTACTAATAAAGATATTCAATAATCTCGTTGAGAGACGAAGTCGTTTTTCATAGTGTATTGAAATACCAATTATAAAACCTTTACAATCACTGACACTTTCGTTATTTCTTTTGTGGGTCAACTCCCTCCCCCACCTACCTCTCTATGGAATGAGAAAAGAGGGATTACCTATCAACGAAACGAGTGCCTGTGTTCACTTGTACCTCATAACATGATATTGGTGCGTTTATAATGCTATTATTGTTATTTTGACAATTGTTGACCAGATATTTGAAAATCAATACATGTACATGTATATATAATAATAGGTGGGTTGTACAAAGTAACATATAAATTATATAATCATGCGCTTTAAGGATAAGACTTCGAGATAATTATTATATCGATACAAGCACAATTGTATAGTGGTGAAAACTAAAAAGTACGTAACATCATGTCTTCACGTGCTAGTCACTTCCTATATCTATACTTCCGTGAATAATATACCTGATCCATGAACAGTCCCGCTGTAGTCTCAAAAAAGTCTCGCCAGAGCTACCGAGAACTTCTCGGATTCATTGTAATTGCTAAATACCGAAAAATTAAAGGCTCCTTATACATTAGTGACATGTGTGTTCTCTACAATATTCTTATGAATTAAGATTAAAACCGGAGATTAAAAAAGAATAATAAAACAATTCAAACAACAAGAGATGAAAATGACTTACAATACAACACATGAAATACAAGGACATCGCAAAGAAAGGTGTCATCCTGCAAATTTTGAATTGATTTTGGGACCATGCAGTAAAAAGTACATTTACATGCATAAAATGATCATGAAAGCATTGAATAATCACAGGACAGGCGCGTAGCCAGAATGGAAATGATGTGTACGCAGAGAAAGGCAGGCCGGGGTGGGGTGGGGGTCTTGAGCCCCCCCCCCCAGTGTGTCAAGGGCTCTGGTCAGACACGTAATATAGTTTATGCCAGCCAGGAAAAAATTACAGCTTTAAAAACTTTGACAAGCAAGGAAGAAAGAAGTCAAAATTTGAAGTCCTATTTCTTGTGGGTTTTTTTTTGGGGGGGGGGGTCCAACTTTCACAAACCAAAGTTTATTAAAACATTACCAAATTACCATGATTTAACAATGCTACAAGAAACCGTGGGGTCCACCCTTTCAATGTACATTTTCAATAGTAAAAGGTTAGGTTTGAAAATAAGCTGGGGTGGAGCCCCCCCCCCCCCCCCCGCGATACTATGTGTCTGCTGATGAGGGCCTAGATTTAAGCTCCTGAGTTTTACCAAATATTTCATTCATTTCTTGCAAAATAAAAATTGGGCCATTTAGCTTTTATTTAGGAAATAAAAAAACATAGTAAAATAAAAGACATAGTAATATTTATAGCAGTGAATACTTTTCGATTTAAATTAATTTTAAATTATCATGGCTGTATGATAAAATTTGAAATTCTAATTTTAAACATATTTCTTGGATGGTACTGAGATTTTTTTCTCCGAATAATTCTTTTCTTTTTTTTTCTTTTTTTGGAAATTGATGTGTACGCACTTGCGTATTTGCGTATAGGCAGCTACGCGCCTGCAGGAGGACATCCACACAAAAAATTAATTAATTTTGAGGTCAAGTGTGAAGAACAAACTACGCTCCAATAACCACTTGGTTTATAAATAATCTCATATACTATGTAGTTAATTATTATAATACAAATCGTTAACAGAGATAAATCTAAGTCCGAGTTCAAAATCAAGGTTAACTCCGATGGTGTTACGCTGATTTAGCTCCCTGTGAAGTAAGGAGACGGCGATGTGATACAATACATTCTTTAGTCACTATTGCCAAGAACAAGGATGACCACCAAGGCCAACTTTGATAGCGATATACTGATTTACTTATAGATGAAGTTCAAATACAGGTAACTCTTGATGGCTCGAACTTCGATCTCTCGAAGTTCTTGATCGCTCGAAGTGAGTCTCCAGTCCCAAATTTTTCCCCTATATAACTAAGCAAAATTACTCTTGATTTCTCGAACTCTTGATCTCTCGAAACCCTTGATCCCTCGATTATTATTATTTTATGAATTGCACGTTAACTTTACTTAAGTAGCCAAATATTTTTGGCACATGTATGGCTATGCTCTTTGAACAATGAATTTAAATTTCGAATTTTGGCTCCAGAAGTGAGGTTCAAATTTAAAACTTGATATTCAAACACCTTGTATAATATACCAGTGGTATCTTTTTTAGCAAATGATTGGTCCCGTGGAAGTGCAGTAAGATTTGGAATTTTGAACTCAGTTCCATGCTAAGGTTATAGTTGTTCTTTAAAAATTCGGATGCTGCAAGTTGCAATGGTCTTGTAAAAATCTCTAATATTTGGGCAAAATACCAAGCCGTCATCGTTTACTTGCATTGATTTTGAGTTGCACATTGAAAACCAGTAACACAGTTGCTTTTCCCTATCATATTTCCGGGACTCTCATAGCTCTATCGTGTCCACTAGAAGGAGTCCTGCTGGAAATTCTACAATGGTCCATAATCGGTTCATAAAAAATTCTTCTTCACGTGGTGATTTTGATTGAAATTGGCATAAAGCTATTGACTATTTCCTTTAGTAATAAACAAATCTGGTACTGTGTGCAGTTTGCATGACTGCTTTTCAATCAAAATTGTGCCTGCAATTCTCTTAACACGGGGTGGAATACTAACAGCCGTAAAAATTAATTAAGATAGTTTGCACGCAGATATACTTTAAAGCGATATACATGCAATTCTTATTTCAGTGTACATTATTCTATAATGTTTAGAGTAAGCTGTATTTGTGTTGAACTAATGCTGGCTCTCTATGCATGTCTGGGTAAGATGTATCACAGCTGTGATAATAATTTAAATTTTATTTATTATAAAGCACGGGAAGTACGAAATATCATTATATATGAACTCTAATTTTGCAGCTGACACAGATTATTTCATTTTTAAAAACCATTTGGTATCTAGAGACGAGGCTCATTTCTGCTGTAGGAAGTATGGAATGACCCTGATGTCCATCAGAAGCGAAAAAACCAATGTATTCTTGAGCAATTCGTTGAAAGCCAGGTCAGTTAATTTTTTAAAAATGTTATATCAGGAATAAATTTCATTTTTTTCCTCAAAAGTTGTAATCATTTTGTAATGCTATAAAAAGTGTTTTTATTTTTTAAAAAATGGAATAACTATGTTTTCAATAAATCGTCAGATATGTTTTGATTCAAACGTAATTTTGAGGTAATTTAGAAAAATATATTTCCTTTAGTGGGCACAGTGCAATATGGTTAGGAATTTTCAACAATCCAAGCAACAGTCAAGAAATGATTTGGCATAACAACACCGTAGTTCAGTACAATAATTTTGAATCGACAACTATGAAAACAATAGATAGTATGGCCGCCAACACCACCGAGGCAACCGCTCTTTGTCTATATGGTGATGTCACTAGCCAGCTTTTGTGGAAAATTGCACCGTGTCTAGAAAAACTCGACTTTGGATGTGAAATAAGTAAGTTTGGGGAAAATTATCGTTGGAATCTATAATGGTCGATTGAATTGAGTACATGAAATGAGTCCCTCATGATGGAAAGGAAGAGGCATCATCATCCTTTAGATTGAAACGATGGAAAAATGGTGGTGCTTTGAACACAATAGCAATAGGTTCGTTCACAAAGGTATGCAAGATATGTATTAAGTTAGTGCTTAATTTTGATTTTCAGTTGGTCCTGGCGTTAATGTTTTGCCAGCTTTGATACCTGATGCAGTTTGTCCAGACTTGGTAAAAATGACATCACATGACATTGCTCGCGGGAGCGCTTTCGTTGACACTGTTGGAAGAACTAGGGGTAAGTTCGACGCACTGCATTAATGTAGAATTCTCACTATATTGCGTATACTTGTAAAATATGTTTAATTTCCTGTACAAATTAAGGTTTAACAGGGAGTTTACCAACTTTACATATATTTTTTGTCTCCTCCGACGGATTTTGTTTAAAAATGACAAATTCTCGTCTTTGCTATAATTTTGGAATTCTCATTTCGAAAGAATTTAAACTACAAGATGAATTTGTCCATGACCTCTTCTTAATTCAAAGTTATATGTCAAATACCAAGGAACTGCCAAATGATATTTAAAAAACATGTCCAAGCTCTAATTCTGCAGGAATGGATTCAGATGTGTTACGATGTTGACTCAAGGTCAAACCGGTATTATGCATCAAGGTCATTTAGATATTTAATAAATCTTGTCTGGACCGTTGGGCATGGTACCCTTGATTCAATGGATTCGAGTTGTATGTCATCGAATGTAGTTGTAACTAAGGTTATGGTCATCAATCATTGCATGTTACGCTAGAATTTTGACAATGATGGTATAACTGGTGAGAGGAGTTACTAGTATCTGAATTTTGTAAATAAAAGAAATGTTATTGCATGTATATTTTCTTGCAAATTGAGGAACTAAATACAAGTATGAAGTTCTACTCTATTTCAGCTGGTACGTTTGGTTACTTCAAACGTGAAGACTTGGTATTTGCTGTGGGAAGAAGAATTGGGTATGATAAAACCGAAGACAACATCGAGTGTGTATTTCGTTGCCTGGAAATCCCAGGATGCAATGACGTCATTATATTGGACAAAAATCACTGTCTCATGTATCAGAGGTAAAATACCTTGCATCTATGTATTGATAAAAGTTTTAGTATAATTAATAAAAAATAAATTATTTGATTGTGTATCTTCTTCTTCCTTGCTATTTACATCAATGTGAATTATAAGTTTATATTGTGTACATATATTTTTATTGCACCCGAATCTAGATCTATAATTAATTACGCTTACTTTTTTAGTTTAAAAAAAAATAGAAAAAAACATTCTCCCAATAACGCATAACTTTAGCGAATAAAAGTATAACTTTCTTGTAACGCGAAACCTCTGCGTTACGTATGAACATAAAAACTTTTGTGATTAAACGCGATTTTTTTCTCATTGAACGCGAATAAACACGTTACCCTTGCGCTAAAACGCGAAAGTTACACATTTATTCTCAAAATATTCTATATTTGTAGTTATGTTTTTTGTTTGTTGTTTAACGTCCCTCTCGAGAATGTTTCACTCAGATGGAGACGCCACCACTTGCCGGTGGAGGGCTGCTAATTTATACCTGTACTCGGCACTTAGGTCCATTGAGCAGTGAGGGATCTACCTCCTGCGACACAGGTTTATACGGGCTCATCCAAAGGACCGGTCTCCACGTCCCACAGTGGATTCGAACCCGCGACGTAAGGATCAGCTCCTTACTCTGCGTTTCTAGAGCAGACGCTCTAACCATTGCGCCACTCGGGCGACTATGTAGTTACTAGTATGTGAAAAGGAACCCGTGATATGACAGACGTTTATGCTCCCACACTGAGGAGTGCTAATTCCATGCTGACTTTGATCGCCATTAGACGTTATAAAAATATAGAATAAAACTAAAATCTACAGTGTTTGGCACAACTGAAACACGATTCAAATATTTTTAACTTTGTGTACACCCAAGATAAAATAATTGAATATTTTTTTGTATGCATTTTCCCCATTACAATAAAATCTTTCGCTTAATAAACATGATTAAAAAAGGCTCAAAACTCACTGTCTGTACCCAATGGGTTGTGACTGAAGTTTTGCTGCTTTATAAGAATTCACTTATACGTACGATACTAATTGCTTTCATGTTTTCAAAATAAATAACTCCTCGGAATTTGTTTTTAATGAAACAGGGATGAAGAAAATAACTGTATAAGCCCGTAGAAAGCAATTTCGGGTTTTTTTTTTGGGGGGGGGGGCATTCCTGGACGAGCAAAACAAAAGAGGTCGTAATGAATTATTATTGAGGGGGACATAGGCATAAAGTAGCTATGTTTTCTATAGTATACTATATATCACCGCCCCCCCCCCCCTTTTCGGGCTCCTAGGACCAATTATACAACGATAACAAGCAAATTCAAAGAATTGTGGTCCCCTACTTTCGGTGTCTTAGTGAATGGGATGCTATTATTTATGGCATATTGTAACTGTCTTGTTTGTGTGTCCTGTCTTGTTTGTGCATCATACAAACAAGAATCCCAAGGGCCTAGAATCGCTCTTCTGAAAATTGTACAACCTATAATCTCATCTGTTTTAAACCTCTTAGTAACATATATATAAGGATAAAGCCTTGAAATTCCAAAAGTAGGTCAGCATGGCAACAAAGTTTGATAATTCCAAGCCAATTGGTACCTGAAATATTCAAAGTAAGCCATGAAATTGCAAAAGTAGGTCACAGTGACCTACACTTTGGTTGATACACTCGGAAGACTCAAGATGCATCAACTGACAAAGTTTGATGATTCTAAGCCAATTAGTATCTGAAAAAGCATCCAATTCCAAAAGTAGGTCACGGCGACCTACTTTTTGGTTGACAAACTCGGGTACCCAAGATGCATCAACTGACAAAGTTTGATAATTTCAAGCCAATTAATATTTAAAATATTTGAATTTAGCCTTGAAGTTGCAAAAGTAGGTCACGGTGACCTACTTTTTGGTCGATACACTCTGAGGACTCAAGATGCATCAACTGACAAAGTTTGATGATTCTAAGCCAATTAGTGTATGAAATATTTTAATTAAGCCATGAAATTGCAAAAGTAGGTCAAGGTGACCTACTTTTTGGTTGACACAATCCGAGGACTCAAGATGCATCAACTGACTAACTTTGATGATCCTATGCTTCAAAGTGTCCAAAATTTTCCCCTAAAACAATTTGAAAATGAATACCTGTAAAAGTCCAAAAGTAGGTCACTGTGACCTACGTTTGAAAAATCTTTTTTAAGGCCCCTAGGTGCATCAGCTTACAAGGATTGGTGATTCTACACCTCTTAGTATCTGAAATAATGACCTTTAATGTTTAGAAAATGATAAGCCATAAAACCAGAAAGTAGGTCACGGTGCCCTACCTTTTGTTTGACATACTTCAATGTCCCATGATGCATAAACTGACAAGTTTTGATGATCATAACTAAAGGTTCAAGGTATCCAAGTTATGCATCAAAACTAAAATGAAAGTGAATATCTGCAAAATTTTGAAAAGTAGATCACCGTGACCTGATTTTGAGTCAACATGATATGAGGTCCGAATATGCATCAACTGACAAGATTTGATGATCCTAGATATTATAGTGGGCAAAATATGAAAGATTAAATAAAACGTAAACTTTGAAGTGACCTTGAGACCACGCCCTTTGCCCAAGGGCGATTCCCCGTGCAAATTTTAATCTACAACATATCCACATCCTTGTATATAAGTTTGGTGATAATCTGCCCAGTGGTTCTTGAGAAGATTTTTTAGCAACCACTACTTTTGTTTTTATTTCCCTAATTATCTCCCCTTGTTTTAGGGACACATCCCTAGTTTTACTATAAATGAAAGTCCTAAGGCGAAGGATACTCCGTGACAAATTTGAAAAAAAATTGACTAAGGGGTTCTTGAGATATGGCCCATTTTCCAAAAAGTTTACGCACACCGCACAAATGGCCATAGCATTAGCTCTTTGAGTCTTTGGCTCAGAAGAGCCAAAAAGACATAAATTAGTTATGGCAAAGATTTGCCAAATGTAAATGCCATATCTTCTCTTAATCAAAAGTTATCAGCAATGTTAAAATTTTTGAAAATTACGTCAAACTTGAAGGTCAAGGTCACTGTGTCAAATATCGTAGCACATTCGGAAACATTTTGACACTGGTAATGCACTTGTCAAATATGAACGCCCTATCTTACGTCATTCAAAAGTAATCACCAAAGTTAATTTTTTTTAATTAGGTCAAACATGAAGGTCAAGGTCAATGGAGTAAAAAATCATAGCTTGGAAACATCTTGTCGCAGGTAATGCACTTGTCAAATATGAAGGCCCTATCTTTCTCGATCAAAAGTTATAAGCATAGATAATTTTTTTTAAAAGTAGGTCAAACTTAAAGGTCACGGGGTCAAAAATCATAGCATATAAATTATTTGGAAAGGTCTTGTCACAGGTAAAGTACATGTAAAACATGAAAGCCCTATCTCTTCTCATTCAAAAATTATGACCAAGGTTAATGTTTTTGTGACAGATGGAAAGACTAACAGACAAATGAGATTTTTAAATGTCCCCTCGCTTTCGCGAAAGCGGGGGGGGGGGGGGGGGGCAAATATGTAGTCTTTTGAATCCACTACTTTCAGGGAAACATGTACCGGGATATTCCCTATCTCCACGTGTGAGATTTACCCTTGAGGGGAAGTCTTACTCTTGAGTACACGTTCCGAGGGGAAAGCTGGCTATGGGGGGAATCCTTCTCTACAACACCGGTACTCTGTCGTGTTTTGAATTTAATTACCAAGTCACTACGCAGCTTGCCGTGCTTTGAATTTACATCGAAAAAGGAAGTGCGTGCAATTTGATTTATTAATCATGGGCACTAAATTCCAGAAATTATTTCTGAAGGACAATTCAAATGAGGAACTGCATTTTATCAATTGTCTATGTTAAAGGTGCTTAGACACAGATTTGAACTTAATATTTTCTCAAATTTTCTATATAATATCACGACTTATATATTGCAATAGCATTTCACACGAAAATATAATTAAAACTTTTTTTATCTGCAAATTATTGGAACTACGAATTCCGGGACGCGATTCATTAACACATCTTTGCACTTAAACAAATTTTAATTTTATCCTTAATATCTAAGAAAAGAAGCGATTGTATTAATGAAAAATATTACATTTATAATCCAGAAAATTAAGAGTAGAAATGTTCGAAAGCAAAACCAACTCGCCAGGTATTGTCAGTCCGTGCTCAGTGATGTGTGCAGAGTTTATTAAATTGAACACACCCGTGAAACGTAAACTGTTTTTGTAAACAGGGCACGAGCTCTGTTGTTGTTATGTTTACGATTCACCGGGTGTGTTCAATTGTTAAACTCTGCACACACCACTGAGCACGGACATACAATTCGAAGTTTTAATAACTTGGAGATGAAATAAGAGTTTTATTATATTTTACTATGCAATGCTATATCAACATATAAGTCATAAAATTATACAGAAAATTTGAGAAAATATTAACTTCAAATCTGTGTCTAAGCACCTTTAAGTTGTGCGCCTTTTCACGTTTTAAATCACTTAAAATTGACTTTATTAATAAATTTTCCTATATATTTCTATGTATAAATTTGATCCCCTGTTGTGGCCCCACCCTACCCCTTGGTCATGTTTTGAACAAACTTGAATCTAAACTACCTGAGGATGCTTCTGAACTATTATGAATAATCAAGGCTTTGCTGTTCTTGAAAAGCAAAAGATTTTTAAAGATATTTCCAGGAGATGTGCATCTGGTGCATCAAAATTTTCCTATGTATTACTTTGATTCCTATTGTGGCCTACCCTACTCTCGGGGGTCATGATTTGAACAAATTTGAATCTACACTATGTAATGAAGCTTTCACACAAGTTTCATCATTTCTGGTGTCGTCAGCGTGGCGCAGTGGTTAAAGCGGTTGCTCTAGAGTCGCAGAGTAAAGAGTTGATCCTTACGTCGCGGGTTTGAACCCCTCTGCGGAACAAGGAGACCGGTCCTTCGGATGAACCGTATAAACCGAGATCCCGTGTCCCAGTAAGGGTTGTCACGAAAAAGATCCCTCCACCGGCAAGCCTTGCACTTTGCACATGGCGTCTCAATATGTGTGAAAATTTTCGAAAGGGACAATAAAAACAATCAATCTTTTCTGGCACTATGGTACTTGAGAAGAAGGTATTTTAAAGATGCCACTAAATTTCCTCTAATTCTGTATTATATCCCAATGAAAGAGGGCGTGGCTCTTCATTTGAACAAACTTGAATCCCTGTTCAGCCAGGATGCTTGTGGCAAATTTGGTTTATTTGGCCAAGTGGTTTTCATGCGAAGAATTTGAATTACATGTATATGAGAAGTTTACAGATGCCGGACACCCTTCAACCAGAAAAGCTCACTTGAGCCTTAGGCTCAGGTGAGCTAAAACTAACGTTTTCTTTTTTCTGTAAGAACGGAAGGGTTGGTTGTTATCGATACCGCTGGAAGAATTAGCAATGTTTTATCTCTGATTGTAACAAGTGTTGTTTACATTTTTTAAGACACCTAGATTACAAGTCAACGAAAATGACAATGAAAAACAATATTTATTTTCATATACTGTTTCAAATGGAACATACGGTAACTGCAGATCATGTGCGCCATGTGCAGACGGATCTATACACCATGGAAAACTTTTCCGAGTTTACACGTTTCGATGTTTAAAAATTCATTGCAACACTAAGTTACTATATCTGACAAATACATGTATTAATATCTCATGTATTTAGTATCGTATTTTTGTACAATAAATCGACCGATCTAGATATTTCAAAGGCATTTCAAATTCCTTTATGGTTTTTCTCCTCGTGCCAACCTTCTGTTAATGTCTTCAACTACTTCAGGAAGCTCTTTGATACTGTCTATGACATAATGAGCACCTGTTTCCCGAAGCATTTCGCTACTTTTTTCACAACGAATTTTCTCCTCCTCTTTGGTAAGTTTTTCGGCGTCTTCAAAACTGTCTATTCCCATATAATTGCTGTATTTAGCCACACCCACTCCCCAACAACCTGCTTCAAGCGCCTCTCCAACGCCAGAAATCGTATCATCTACCTTAACAACAGACTGAATGGGATGGACGTCCAAAAGATCCATGTTCTTGTAAACCATGAAAGGCTTTGGCCTGGCGCCATGCGCAACTTCATCGCCGGCAACAGTAACATCCGGGTAATATCCTTGCTTGTTAGCATCTTCCACAAGTACGTCCACCATTGAGCGTAAAAACCCGGTAGTGCTGCCAATTTTACAACCGAACTCCTTCTTCAAGATGTTAACCGCCTCTGTCGTTCCGGGAATGAGATCGGTATACCTACGAAGACAACTCAGTTGCATCGGCACAAAATCTTTGAACATATTGTCTACATCTCTTTGGTCCGGTTCCTTCCCATAAACTTTGGTCCATCTTTCTCTAACATCTGGATCTTCAGTAATAGCCTTGATGTGAAGGTCCTTACGCAATCCCATTGGCTTCCTTGCTTCTTGCATTGATATCGGAACTTTGTGCTTCTGAAACACGTCACAGAACACCACAGCTGGGGCCAGGACATACTTATCGGCGGTGGTTCCGCTCCAGTCTAAAATTACTCCCCTCACCGGACCCACATAGGACCGCATAAAACGATATCTTCCTGAAAAGACAGAAACCAATTATGAAACCCCTTTGTTCTAGGAAATACTCAGTAAATTGTCATTTTATAAAATCCTTAAGATTTTAAAAATAATTTCATAAAAATAATTTGCATAATAAAGGTTGGATCTGAAAATATCTTCCATAGAAGAATTAAACCTTCTGAACAGTCTGACACTTAAAGCATGTAATACCTAGTAAAATATATGATTAACTTGCAAGATCTCATTTGTAATTTTATTAACATTGGTTCTGATGTTAGTAAAAACTGAAAGACAAGAAACATGGTGGATGAATGATGCCGTCGATTTCACCGACTCGCTGAGCAACATACACTTACTGGCACTGGCAGTGTACTTCATAAACGCCAAAATGTGGTGTATAATTTTGAATAAATTAAACACAGTTTAGCATACTTTGTTTGCGGATTTCGGACAACGACACCATTGTCAACAAGCAGAGGAAAAATACATTTACAACGTAATGCTAAAAACGAACTATTTTGATTCCCAAGAAACATTGTTGTAGTGGACCACTGACGATGTAAATTTTGGTAAATTGGATCAACTCCTCGAGAAACGTGTACATTCATACTAAGCTGCAAATCTTTTTCAAGCATCAGTTTTGCACTAGTGAGATTTCGACATTTCACTGAAGCACGCTTCAGTATACTATTATTGATCGAGATTTTAACATCAATGACGTTCTTTCATATTCTCATGCAATTCATAAATCAAATTATAGCACACTCAATTCTTAAAATTAATATGCCTTACTTACCTGACATTTTCAAAGCGATTTTGCACCAGTTTAATCAATCCGAGCACTTCAGCTATCTTATGGTAAACAAACAGGTGACCAACATTTACGGTATGTCAAGGGCGCTCCTCATCGACACGCAGGAAAAAAATCCAATAACATGATATCCGTGGTCATAGTGAGCTTATCAAGTATAGCTCCTTAAGATGGCATTTTCCCCATCTAAATACAAGAATAAAGGGCAAAGATTTTCTCAGTATAATTAAATTTACTTCACAGTTATTACGTAGTCAAATTGTCTCCCTTGATCAATAAATTTGAGCTCCCGTGGCTCTTTTCACAGAAAAAATATTGACAACTGTGTTTGCTTTATTAAGAGACAAGATTTTTTTTTTTATAAAAGACAGTTCACAATGTATCATGTAATAGAAATATGAGATTGTTTCTGACCTACTATAGCTTAGATAGTTGGTGGAGAATTAAAAAAAATTAAATAAATTGTTGAGTCATATTTCGTGAAAAGTTGCATAAACGAAGCAACGGTTCCAAAAGTGTGTGGGGGGCGGGGGGGGGGGGGGTCAACATCCCGAAAAGAAAAAGTCTCTTTTACTGTCCAAACCCTGGAATTTGCCAGTGCTCGACCTTATTTACAGCAACAAAAAATGGAAGAGGACACTTAAATGAAAATTTACTACAGCAAAATACACTATAGTCAGATAAAAGTGCCCCCCCCCCCCCAAAACCCCCGCGTCAAATTATTTTCAGAGGCAGGGGTCTGATATAAAGGGTCTTCGACACAGATTTGAACATAAGAATTTCTAAACTTTTCAATAGAATATTATGAATTTTATGTTGTTCGAGCATTTCACGTTGAAAAATAAAAAAAAATTGTTTAGAAACTTCCTTTTATCAGGAAAATATTGAAACTACGAATTTCGGGACGCGTTTGACAAGCATCCTTGCACTTTTAAGAAGTAAACTTTATTGTTAATACTTGAGTAAAGTAGAAATTTTGTTCAGTATTAACGAAAAAATGTTTAAACTATAATCTAGAAAATTTGGAGAAAATGCATGAAAGCAAATCCAAATCACCAGATTTGTTAGCCCGTCCGTGCTCAGTGATGTGTGCAGAGTACTGTAAACCAACATTTATTCGCGTGCAAGAAATATCCGCAAGCTCCTGAATTCTTGAGAGCTCTCTACGATTCTCTATAGAATTTTAAGGGTAAAACCTTATAAACTTAAGGGTAACATTATAATAATCTTCCATATCCACCATCCCAAATATATTCGTATCAAATAATTAAACTATGTAAAATTTTTCATCATCAGATTTTTTTGGAAGCTTTATACTATATTTGCTCACATCGAGTTGTGATTTGATCCCCTTTGCTTATATCTCTTGGATCTTAGCGATTCCCCCCACCCCTTTCCACCACGTCATCGTGTCTGGAGATTAGGCTTCTTGCCTCATCTATGTTTTTTTGTAAAAGTCAATAGATATAAGATTTGCATTTTAGCAGAAAATTACATGTCTAAAAACATGTTTGAGTCAAAAAGACTTGCTGTACATAAAATGGAAGAAATTTGTTGACGAACCTAAGAGCTACATGTACACATTCAAAAGAAAACTTGCTATACTGCGCATAGACCCATGCTCAACTTTAGGACTTTTCCTCTTGTTTTCTAAAACAGTCTACTGAAGTATTTTACACAAATTCTTAAAACATTTCGTTACGAATTTCCTCCCTTTACTTGTCTCAGAAATTCTTGTCATTGCCGTCATCAACCTCGGAAAATGAAGTGTGTTAATTTCTTGTCAATCAACCATGTAAACAAAACTATACTTCTTCATTTTGTAAGGTTATTTATAAAGGCCTTTCTACGATTTTCTGAGATAAATAAAGTAACGATATCAGTAGTAAAATGCCTTTAGAATTTTTTGGTATGAAGACATAGCCGATGCAGATCTGCATTTTGGAAATCAAAGACTAAGGAAGCCATTTTGATTGCTTAATATCACGTACATGTATAATCCACTTGTCTTTTTGCAAGAGTTTCAAATCTATAAATTTTTCATGTTGTATTCAACGAATAAACATTTTAATATAATGACAAATTTCCCCTTTATTATACCCCCTGCTTGAAAAGCAGGGATGTATAGTGATGGAGATGTCCGTCCGTCTGTCCATCCATCCGCCCGTTACGCTTCGGGGTACCCATCTCTTATCCTCAGCTTCTCTTACACTACTGAATAAAATTTAATGAAACTTTCACAGAATCTTTGTTACATTGTGCCATTGTGACCTCCTATCTTATTTTTTGATCGGACATATATTTTGGGTTTCAAATAGCAAAACATACTTTCTATAATATTGTGGGGTACCCATCTCTTATCCGTAACTTATCCTATACCACTGAATAAATTTAATGATACTTTTACAGAATCTTTATTACATAGTGCCATTGTGCACCTCCTATTTTTCTTTTAATCTGACACTTATTTCAGGTCTCTCATAGCAAAACATGGACTTTGTCATAATAACTATATTGGAGGCGGGGTATCATTTTGTGAGCTCAGTGCACACAGTACCTCAAGTTTTTATATGTGTAACTAAATCTTTGAAAATTTTACGGTAAAAAAATCCGCCAGTGGGACTGAAACACTGATTAAAGGCTGATGGAGGACAAATGACCTCCTAAGGAATTTAAAATGACCTCTCATAATAGGTACCTGTTTTATTAAACCACTGTGTAACGATACCTAATGTAAATTATTGTACACATGACAAATTAAATTTAATTGTACTGCAATGATCAGCTTGTGATGTTGCTTTAAACAAAACTAATTCATGAATAATTCTTACACAAAATCTTAGACGGCCCATAAATCACATCCTTTAAATGATGTCATTGCCTGATGCTGTCTAAATATGAAGTTAATGCACTTACATTCTAAATTCTAATACAATATTTAAAAAAAAAATCATTTGTAACATACAAATGCAGTATAAACTTGAAAGTTTGAAATAGAGTGATACTAACAATCCATAGGGATGATTAGAAAACACAACATGCACAACTTCTTGTAAGAAAAAGTAACTAAAAATTGATCTTCGTCTCTTTCAGTTTGCCCATATATTGACATTGTCTCCACTGAATTATTAAACTTCCCAATGTCTGCTATTGTTACAATGTCTTACATAACTGCTATGGAGAATGTTTTCTCTTTTTGGTCAATATCAGTTTAAAAGTACCTTCTTTGGAAATTATCATCGTCATTAGTTTGTGTTTTCCTTCACAGAACTTAATTTTTCATTAATAACAAAGTTGCAACACTTAAATACATGAATTATTAATATGATGGAATTCATGTGTCCACAGTGAATATTCACACTCGTTCCATCCTTTCCTCTAGGTGACTTGTCTTGAGAGCTGTTCTGTGAACCTCCCTAACAGAATTTGTACAGCAATTCATAAACAAACATCAGTTATAAACAAGTCGGAAATTCCTCTCTTGTTCCCTCCGCTGAATTTCCATCTGTTTTGAAATTTCCTCCACTTTCCTTCCCAGTAATGCTGAAGCATTAGAAATTGTGACCATCAACATTTTAACATAAAAACTTAATTCTAACACAGCAATGGCTAATCATAATACATCTGTATAACACAATGCCTATGAACTGCAAATTACATAATTTTTAATGTAAAACTGTAGCATCATCTTACTTGTGTTCTGGTCAATCCACTGAAGTGAGTCCATGTGAGAATTTAAAATTTTAGTTATTTGCTGAATCTGTGAAATACAAAAGTTACATGTACATGAACTACTGAACAAAGATGGGGAGCATTAAATGACAAGAAGAAACAATTCAATAATATATATGGATTACAAAAATTAGAAATAATATTCCATAAAAATGTTTTCATTCATATCTTCTTTTTTTGAAATCAAAACTTTTGAAATTTAAAACACATATTTAATTAGAAGAGATATTTGTTCAGGTACCCATTTTGGCCTGCTGAAGAATTTACAATATTTTTCTCTCAATATTTTCATGACAATGAGGGGCAGCTAGAAGACTGACTTCAGGTACATTTTTGCAATCAAATTTTTATTATGAAAAAGTATCAATTCATATCTTAAAGCCAAATACTCCAGTTTTTTTAAAAGAATAACCACTTGTGAATTTGTTATTATGTCAGCTGAGTCACCTAGACAACCTATTCAATCTGTTTTTGTCCAATGTGCACTGTGCATTGTACATTATTAACCATTTTTAATGGAATTAAATTAGACCTTTCATTTATTTCTTATGTATCTACGAGTATTTGTCACTCCTTTAACAAGCAACAATTTGATAAACAAAGAGGGAGCAATCCTGGGAGATCCTGAGCAATCCTAGTTAGTACTGATCCTGGTTAGTACCATAATTAGGACTTACCAGGTCATTCTGATCCTGGTTAGTACTGATCCTGGTTAGTACCATAATTAGGACTTACCAGGTCATTCTGATCCTGGTAAGTACTGATCCTGGTAAGTACTGATCCTGGTTAGTACTGATCCTGGTTAGTACTGATCCTGATTAGTACTGATCCTGATTAGTACTGATCCTGGTTAGTACTGATCTTGGTTAGTACTGATCCTGAGTAGTACTGATCCTGGTTAGTAATGATCCTGGTTAGTACTGATCCTGATTAGTACTGATCCTGGTTAGTACTGATCCTGGTTAGTACTGATCCTGGTTAGTACAATAATTAGGACTTACCAGGTCATTTTGATCCTGATTAGTACTGATCCTGGTTAGTACAATAATTAGGACTTACCAGGTCATTTTGATCCTGATTAGTACTGATCCTGGTTAGTACAATAATTAGGACTTACCAGGTCATTTTGATCCTGATTAGTACTGATCCTGGTTAGTATAATAATTAGGACTTACCAGGTCATTTTGATCCTGATTAGTACTGATCCTGGTTAGTACAATAATTAGGACTTACCAGGTCACTTTGATCCTGGTTAGTACTGATCCTGGTTAGTACAATAATTAGGACTTACCGGGTCATTCTGATCCTGTTTAGTACTGATCCTGGTTAGTACAATAATTAGGACTTACCGGGTCATTCTGATCCTGTTTAGTACTGATCCTGGTTAGTACAATAATTAGGACTTACCGGGTCATTCTGATCCTGGTTAGTACTGATCCTGATTAGTACAATAATTAGGACTTACTGGGTCACTCTGATCCTGGTTAGTATTGATCCTGGTTAGTACAATAATTAGGACTTACCGGGTCATTCTGATCCTGGTTAGTACTGATCCTGGTTAGTACAATAATTAGGACTTACCAGGCCATTCTGATCCTGATTAGTACTGATCCTGGTTAGTACCATAATTAGGACTTACCGGGTCATTCTGATCCTGGTTAGCACTGATCCTTATTAGTACAATGATTAGACTTACAGGGTCTGATCCTGGTTAGTACAATAATTAGGACTTACCAGGCCATTCTGATCCTGGTTAGTACTGATCCTGGTTAGTACAATAATTAGGACTTACCAGGACATTTTGATCCTGGTTAGTACTGATCCTGGTTAGTGCTGATCCTGATTAGTACAATAATTAGAACTTACCAGATCATTTTGATCCTGGTTAGTACTGATCCTGGTTAGTACAATAATTATGACTTGCTGGGTCATATTGATCCTGTCTAGTACGATAATTTGGACTTACCGGGTCATATTGATCCTGTCAAGTATGATAATTAGGACTTACGAGGTCATTTTGATCCTGTCAAGTATGATAATTAGGACTTACGAGGTCATTTCGATCCTGGTAAGTACAATAATTAGGACTTTCCGGGTCTGATCCTGGTAAGTATGATAATTAGGACTTACTGAGTAATTCTGATCTTGGTAAGTACTGATCCTTATTAGTACAATGATTAGGACTTACCGTGTCTGATCCTGGTAAGTACTGATCCTGATAAGTACAATAATTAGGACTTGCCAGCACATTTTGATCCTGGTTAGTGCTGATCCTGATTAGTACAATAATTAGGACTTACCGGGTCATTTTGATCCTGGTTAGTATTAGAGGAATTCAGATGATCGATGATTTCTTTTAAATCTGATAGCATCCTTTTCAGCTGTGCATCAATGTTCTCTGCTAACTGATATCTATATTAAAATAAAGAATTGCTTACTGATATCTATAAATAAAAAATTGTCACATAAAATTTCATTTGTATCAGTTGAAAAAAAAAAAAAAAAACAAGAGGCCCAATGGCCTTAATGGTCACCTGAGTACAATACAACAATTTAGAGGATCCATAAACTGATAAATGAAGCTTTAAATGTTGCCCAAAAGCAAGAAAAATAGTATGATAAGCATCAACAGAATAATTGGTATAGCATCTATCTGTCCCCCATTTAACACTATTACCAAGCAGACTATTAACAAAATGTCTATTTTTAATCCCAAATTACTACTTCTCACATTGGTCTCTGATAAAAATACCCTTGCATACTAAAACTTTTACTCTGTTTGCCTCGAATATGCCCAGAAGCATAGAAGATTTTCAAAGAAATGCATGTTCACTATATAATTAAATAAATAAAGCCCCCCCCCCCCCCCCCCCCCCCCCCGTCCTTACACCAGAACATCTTACCCAGGAGCCATGAACTCACAATTCTGGAAGAAGAACTTTGCTTTATTACTAGTAGTAAAAAAAATATTTTGAAAGAAATTATGCATTTTCACTATAAAATCAATAGAGCCCCCCCCCCCCCCCTTTCACCAGAACCCTGACCCAGGGGCCATGATTTTCACAATTTTGGAAGAGGCATTCTTCCTTATCATAACCATGCACTTTCTCTATTTGAATAACACCCAGGAGCAGAGAAGAAGATTTTGAAAGAATTTATGCATTTTCCATATATAATCAATAGAGCCCCACCCTAACAGCAGAACCCTTCACCCAGGGGCCACGAAATTCACAATTTCTGAGGAGGCAACCATGCTCATCATAACTATGTACTTAGTTCATTTAATATCCAGGAGAGAGAAGATTTTAAAAGAAATAATGCATTTTCACTATATATATCAATTGAGCCCCAACCTGACACCAACACCCCGACCCAGGGGCCATGAAATTCACAATTTTGGAAGAGGCAACCATGCTCATCATAACTTTGCACTAAGTTAGTTTATTTCATGCCCAGGAACAGAGAAGAAGATTTTCAAAGAATTAATGCAAATAATCAATAGAGCCCCACTCTAACACCTGAATCCCTGACCCTGGGGCCATGAAATTCACAATTTCTGAAAAGGCAGCCATGCTCATCATATCTATGTTCTTAGTTAGTTTATTTAACACCAAGGAGCAGAAAAGAAGATTTTCAAAGAATTAATGTATTTTCACTATATAATCAATAGAGCCCCACCCTAACACCAGAACCCCTGTTCCAGGGGCCATGAAATTCACAATTTTGGAAGAGGCACACTTGCTCATCATAACTTTGTACTTAGTTACTTAATTTAATGCCCAGGAGCAGAAAAGAAGATTTTCAAAGAATTAATGTATTTTCACTATATAATAAATAGAGCACCGCCCTAACACCAGAACCGCTGACCCAGGGGCCATGAAATTCACAATTTTGGAAGAGGCACTCTTGCTCATCATAACTTTGTACTTAGTTACTTAATTTAATACCCAGGAGCAGAGAAGAAGATTTTCAAAGAATTAATGCATTTTCACTATATAGTCAATAGAGCCCCGCCCTAACACCAGAACCCCTGACCCTGGGGCCATGAATTTCACAATTTTGGAAGAGGCACTCTTGCTCATCATAACTATGTACTTAATTTGTTTATTTGATACCCAGGAGCAGAGAAGAAGATTTTCAAAGAATTAATGCATTTTCAGTATACAATCAATAGAGTCACACCCTTACACCAGAACTCCTGACCCTGGGGCCATGAAATTCACAATTTTGGAAGAGGCACACTTGCTCATCATAACTATATACTTGGTTAGTTTATTTAATACCCAGAAACAGAGAAGAAGATTTTCAAAGAATTAATGCATTTTCACTATATAATTAATAGAGCACCGCCATAACACCAGAACCCCTGACCCTGGGGCCATGAAATTCACAATTTTGGAAGTGGCACTCTTGCCCTTCATAACTATGTACTTAATTTGTTTATTTGATACCCAGGAGCAGAGAAGAAGATTTTCAAAGAATTAATGCATTTTCACTATATAGTCAATAGAGCCCCGCCCTAACACCAGAACCCCTGACCCTGGGGCCATGAATTTCACAATTTTGGAAGTGGCACTCTTGCTCATCATAACTATGTACTTAGTTACTTTATTTAATGCCCAGGAGCAGAAAAGAAGATTTTCAAAGAATAAATGTATTTTCACTATATAATAAATAGAGCACCGCCCTAACACCAGAACCCCTGACCCTGGGGCCATGAATTTCACAATTTTGGTAGAGGGTTCAATGCTTATTACAATCATGCCAACAGTTTGACTGCTTGATGTCCAGGAGTAAAGAAGTTTTTTAAAGATTGCATTAATTTTGGTGGTTTTAGCCCCACCCCTCAGGCCCCAGGGGGGCAGGGACCATGAAATTCACAATTTTTGTTCCCCTTCACCCATAGATGCTATATACCAAATTTGGTTGAAATTGGTTAAGCGGTTCTGGAGAAGAAGTTAAAAATGTTCAAAAGTTAACGCAAGACAGACGACGCATGCCGATGGACGAAAACGGATAGCAATAGGTCACCTGAGTGACTCAGGTGACCTAAAAAAGGGAAAATTTCAAGTGAAACAAAATGAGTTTCTGAAACAATATAAATCTGTCCCTGATGGAATCCAAAACATCCAATAACTTTATCATATTAAAACATAGTTAATCAAAGATGACAAAGCTCACCTTGAAGGACGTTATCTATAAGTAAAGCAAAGTCTCACACCAAACAAATGTTCTAGTAGTGTGCATCCCTAAATACAACATCAAAACAAGTTTGGACCATGTAGGATCTATACATACTTGAAAATGAACAAGCTGCTTCAAAACTTTTAATTGTTCACTCACACTGCAAATGTAGGTCAGATACAGCTTCCAAACCATGTTTGAAGTGTTCATACCTAGCAACAAAGCATCATCTATGCAGATTCAATCACCATAGGGCTTATAGATACTTGGGAATGGACCAGCTCTAAAAATAAACCTGTTCATTCACCTGGAAAATGAAGGTCAGATCCATCATCCGAAGCAAGTCTGTAGTGTGCATTGCTAGATGCATCTTATCACCACATATAGGGCTTAAAGTTACTTGAAAATGAACCCAGCAACTGAAGGAAGTGTGGTAGTGTGTATCCCAGGATGCATCCTCTATGCAAGTTGGTCCAGGTAAGGCTTACAGTTATTTGCAAATGAAACTACTCCAAAAACTAGCTTGTTGTCTCATCTAGAGAATGTAGGTCAGAACCAGCATCTGAAGCAAGTGTGGTAAAGTGCATCCCTCAAAGCAGTTCAACTAAGAAGGGTTAACAATTACTTGGGAATGAACTTATTGTAAAATTTTTCACCTGTTCAGGTGTCCAGAAAATGTAGGTAAGAACCATCATCCAAGCAAGTCTTATAGTGTGAATTCCTAAAGCATCATCCATGCAAGTTTGGTCTACATAGAGATTTAACCTATTACTCATCCAAAAAATATGGGTCAATCTATCCAGTATCTGAAGCAAGTCTGATAGTGTGCATCCTTAAATGGATAATCAATAATCCATGCAACTTCGGTCCAGGTAAGGCTTACAGTTATTTGGAAATGAACCTGCTACAAAACTTTTAACCTGTTCACTCATCCTGAAAATGTAGGTCAGATCCAGTATCTGAAGCCCATCTGGTAGCAATCTTCCCTAAATTCATCATCAATGCAAGTTAAGTCACCGTTGGGAATAAAGTTACTTGGGGATGAAGCTGCTCCAAAAAACTTTAACCTGGTCACTCATCCAGAAAATGTAGATCAGATCCAACATCTACACCCAGTCTGGAAGTGTGCACTTCTAGATGCATCATCCATGCATGATAATGCAAGTTTGATTCAGGTAGGGTGGCTTACAGATACTTGGGAAGGAGCCTGCTCCAAAACTTTAACCTTATCATCACTTATTTGGAAAATGTAGGTCAGATCCAGCATTTGAAGCAAGTCCAGTAGTGTGCTTCCTTAGATGTGTCATCCTTGCAAGTTTGGTCAACATAGGGCATAAAGTTACTCGGAAATGAGATCTGCTCCAAAAACTTGGTCTGGTAATGTGCATCATCCTTGCAAGTTTAGTCTCCATAAGGTTTATATTTGATTTGGAATGAAATCTGCTCATAAAACTTTTACTTGCTCCAAAAACTTAAATTTGCTCTCATCCAGGAAATGTAGGTCAGATTCTGCATCCGGAGAAAGTCAGGTAGTGTACATTCCAGGATGCATGATCCATTCAAGTAGGGCCTAAAGTTACTTATAAAACCTATTACTAAAACTTCAACTGGGATGCCAATGCCGACACTGATGCTAACATAAATGCCAGGAGAATAGTATAAGTTCATTTGAACTTCTGATGAGGTGATGTAATAAAACAGATTGGAAAAAAATTCTGAAGACGTTGAACTCTGTGTGAAATAGAGTCAGCTCTCTTCATACAGATGCCTCCTTTGACAAACCTACGTGTTTTCCCTCTCCAGAGCAGAGTGTTGCTGAATGTTAATATTTGGCTGTTGTTCTACGGTCTTCTCGAGAGGGACCAGTAATTCCTCTAACTCCCGCTGTTGTGAGTGAATGAAGTCGAGCTCGTGATCCAGTTTCTGCTGGTCTACCTTCACTCGTTCCATGTCACTGTTAAGTGTTGTTATCTGTAATGTCAGATACACTTAAAATTTAGCACACTGAGGAAAAATAAATGCTGTCTAGATTTGTACTGACTAGGACACTTTCAAAAATAGTAACAAACGCAACACCATTCATTGAAATTTAAAAGTGAGGTACTTGACGTCTTCTAAGATTTGGCAAGATCAATCTTTGGCAGAAGTTCATGTAGCATTTTGAAAATTTTTGCTACATTGGACATTGATTTCTACCAACATTTATTAAGCTCTTTGGATCTTTGACAAGTAGAGCTGAAAATAATCAAAAATAAAAATACTTGTTTTTTAGTATAAAGCTTTGACCAATTGGATTCTCCGGAGTTGTCTTTCTTACTTTCTCTCCATTTTCCACCAGTAATCGGTCCCAGGCATTCACCTGAGTGGCCAGTTCTAAGAAGTCCTGTTCCTGCTTCTCTAGCTCTGACATCCACTTGTTAATACTCTCCTCCAGTTGTTGATACGACATCTTGGTCTCAGGGACGACGGCTGTCGCAATTGTGCTGGCAGCTGAACTTGTGGCTGCAGTGCTAAAAATTTATTTACCAAAATATTGTTTTTAACCCAAAACTTTATAGGATTTAAACGTTTAAATTTTTCTTTTATGGTCATCTTTAAAAAATCAGTGTATACTGTAGATACTCTGGCTAAAATGTTTAAATGGGGGAATTTTGCTCTTCATTTCAGTATCCTTACAGATTAAAACGTAATGATTCTTAATCTAATCACTGATGTCACATTATGGAAATAACTTAGAAACAAAATTCTTGCCATAATTCAGGAAATCTAATATTGTAGTGTGGAGTACCTGGCAGCTGCCACTGGAAAGGAAAGAGTGGTGGTTTGTGGTTTTGTGGCAGCAGTAGTGGTGCCAGCAATTAAGCCCCCTAAAGTTGGTGCAGCTGTTGTTGTTTTGGCACCACCAAACTGGAAACCACTTGCAGATGTGGCTGTTCCAAGGGATAATCCAGTGGAGGTGGTGGTATTAGCAGCCCCCAAAGTTAGGCCTGGAGCAGTTCCCTGGGTAGTACCCACTGATATTCCAAGTGGCTTAGTGGCTGCTGTTTGTCCTGTTAAGTTGAAAGTAGCTGTTGCTGTAAATATGTAAACACACAAGTACATGTACAGTGTATCATATACATAAAACACATACATTGTAGAATGTGCACACTCATTATTTAATATATAAAATAGGGATGTTTAAGTGTTTCTCTGTTGTTACTATATAACAAAATTGTATATATCCAAGCTGTAATATTATAAAAATTCATATTCTGCAGTTTCCCCTTGAATATGTACACAATAAGTGTAAATTTTAATATTTGAAAAAAATCATCGAAAATTTTATCAACGGTAATTTAAAACCACCAATTCAATTCATTAGTCATACTCATTCTGACATCCTAATACAAATACCTACAGAGGGTTGTACAAATTCTCTTTCATTCAATATGGTAACAAACAGTGGATTGCTTAATTTTATGTTTAACAGTGGCAAAAGTATCCCAGAACTCATAACAATCAAAACCTGCATCAAACTCCCTAACCAAGTGGCATTTTTGAGTAAGATGAGTAGGTGATTACTGATTAGCTAAGAATACTGTTATACATTAGCAAAACAAGAAAAGTGAATGAATAAATATAAACATAGGTAATCAGAGATTACAGAGCTCACCTCAACCAATGTTGTCTTTAAGTAAGGCAAAGTCCCACACTAAACTAATAATCTTGGGAGTGTGCATCCCTAGATGCAATATTTATGCAATTTTGGTCTGATTGGGCATGCAGTTACTTGAGAATGGACTTATCTAAAAACTTTAAACTAGTCACTCATCCAGAAAATGTAGGTTAAATCCAGCATCCGAAGCAAGTTTGAAAGTGTTCGTCCCTTGATGCATCATCCATGCAAGTTTGGTTCAGATAGGCCTTATAGCTTCTTGGAAATGGACCTGCTCCAAAAACTTTAACTTAATCACTCACCCGCAGAATGTAGGTAAGATCCAGCATCCGAAGCAAGTCTAGTAGTGTGCATCCTTAGATGTATCATCCATGCAAGTTCGGTCAATATAGCATAGGGCCTCAGCCCTTTAGTTACTCGGAAATGAAATCTGCTCCAAAAACTTTAACCTGGTCACTCATCCGGAAAATGTACGGTAGGTCAGATCCAGCATCTGAAGCAAGTCCAGTAGTGGGCATCCTTAGTTGTATCATCCATGCAAGTTTGGTCAACATAGCGCTTATAGTTAATTGAAAAAG